CCTTTGCCAACTTTATGGGCCTGTTGTATAGCTTACAACACTTGGTATTAACCAGCAGTTACCCATCTGAGTACAGTCCAGGTTCAATATTGCTCAACTTTGGTGATTGGATGAGGACTAATGTTTCAACATGATATAGCTATAGCAGTTTTGAGCCACCCTCTGGATTTCAAAGAATGACCTAAAAATTGATGGTTGCATGTCTTTTTCTTCTTGAAGTATCTTATATATTTTTTTTTAAACTTTTCACACCAAACAAGGCAGAAGTGCCACTAGAACGCAAGGGGTTACAGAAAGTGGGAGCAAGAGTAAAGAGACATGAATGAGGAAAGAATTAAAAGAAGAATGGGGAATAGATCAAGGCATCTGAAGATGTTGATTGATATTGCAGTTGAATAGTTGGAGATTATAGCTATCAGGGAAGCAAGTAAGAGGAAGGGAGTTCCACAAATGGAAAGTGCAAGACATAAAGCTATTGGAATAGAAGAGGCAGCGACATTTAACAGTTTTGATAGTGAAAAGGTGGGACTGAGATGCCAACCTAGTGGTATATTTAAATTCATGCAGTTTGGGAACTAGTGAAAATAGCTTGTTGGAGTAGTTACCATGTAAGTATTTGTGGAAAAGACAGAGGGAGGTGATGGCACGTCTGTGAGAGTGCAACTGTAAACCAGATGCCAGATCAGGGCCAACCACATTGCATATCCATCTCTGGATTTTGTCGAGGACCCTAAGATGAACAACGAGAGCTCCAGACCATATGACCAGCAATATTCCATGCAAGGGTGAATGGTTGATTTATACATTTGAAGGATGGACTTGGGCAAAACTTTCTGGCATGACACAGAGAACCAATTAACCTATTACTGCATAAGGTTTCCTTAAAATTTTAGCTCTCTTTTTACTTAATGTAGCTTGCTCGCAATCTTTAATTTAATGGATTTAAATTTTTTAACCACATCTTCAAAAAATCCTACACCATGAAGTTAAATAGTTTCAGTATCCTAGTTTAGTAGGAGTTAATTAAACCAAAGGTCTGAAACTTACTATCATATATAGTTGTGAATAGTACAAATTTTTATGATATTTTTATGCAAAAAATAGAGGGTTGCACAAAACAGATAATTATTTTTAAAAGGTTAAAAATTATGCATTTTTAGTGACCAATTGCATTATACACAGGTAATCTTTTCTGGATGGTTTAAAGTTCATGCCAGAAAATTCAGGGTTTACATGAAATCGCCTTATAGATGAGTATATATGTTAATTATTGAATCCAGGGGTGAACCCAAACTTTTGGCCTATAGTGGATAAATTTAAGTGAACAATTACAAGTTAATAAGTAATCTTTCAGCAAGACATTTATCTGGTGTAAAAAATTGGATTTATTTCAAGAATTCAAAATGAAAGCAATTGAGGCTGCAGAAAATTAATGGAGAAAAGTTCCTTGATGGACTTCAGGAGCAGGCTAGGGTCATTATCTGATGCTTTAGGGGGAAGTGCCACTTTCTTGACTTCTTTTTGTGTCTCGTTCGACTGCATTTATATTTGTTCTTAGTTTTTATTATTTATTGGGGTTCTTTTTTTCATATCGATTAAGCAACCCTGACTCCGGAAAAAAAAAAAAATTAAGAAACCACATTTAAATGAACATAATCTGTTAGTTTTGGTGTCTGTAAGTGTAGGGGAGGTCAATTTACAGTTCATATCTGAAGTGCTTTTACGAAAGAAAAATATGATTATATGGTAGCAGGGTCTATTGCACAACTCCAACCTACTTTTTGGAAATTGGAGACTAGCGTAAGATTAAGAAAATAATTTTTTTTTTATGTGAAAATTGAAAAACTTGCACACAACTAATAAATGTCCACAAAATAACGCACACACACACATAAATGATATAGAATTTATGCTGCTACAATACATGCTGGATCGAATTTATTCAATAAATTAATAATAGGTGATAATTTAAATGTAGTAAGCAGGTGATTTACACTGACACTTACGGTATTATTAGCTATCAGTGACATTTCAAAATGGCTGAACTAAATCTTTTTTTTTTTTTAATTATTACAGAAAGTATTTTCCTCTTTCACTCAGAGGAGGATAATTAAAATGTAACTGCTACATTTTAATGGTTTAAAAAAAAAATTCTTTCTTTGCCTTTATTGCTGATTTTGAAGTTCGGTTAAATTGTGCCAAATTTGAATATTCATCGAGTTCGCCAGATGTAACTCAAGCAAGAAAATTTAAAAAAAAAACCTCACGGCAAAAACTTTTTTACTAAAAAGAAAAAAAAAAGGGAAAATAGAAGAGTTGTAAATGTAGTAAGGAAGGCAAATGTTTCTTCTGACATCATCATTTCCTTCGGATAATACACAAAAGATTTTCCTAGGTCTATATATCCAGGCGGATTGCACACATAACACTTGGGTTAGACTAAAAAACAAAAAAAAAATATAGGCTAATTGCTTCAAAAGAAAATGCTTGAATGTTGGTTGATGTTCAAAAATGCTTTGCTTGGATATATAAAAAAATATTTTAAGGAATAAAGAAAATTAACGAAGGTTATATCATTGTGTAAAACAACTAAATGATTTTTTAACATTAAAACTGCGAATAAGTAATTAACTTTAACATTGAAAAGTAGGGGGTTGATCTGATTTAACAGAAAGAAAGTTATAGTTGTCTTCATCATTAATCCACACAGAATTTATAATTAGATGGGCATTATAAATTTTATAGGCACTACCACAAGAAACATTAATAGAAAATATTTAATGTCGGAATATTTTTTTATCTTTTGTCAAACGCTATTGCTGGATTTTAACCGAATTATAAGTATGGAGATACATTAAAAATTAAAATGGAGAGTTAGTTAGAAGACACATATTTCCAGTAGTAAACGTTATATTCCTATCCTACCTAAATCAATCTGCTACATTTCAAAAACAGCGAGAAGCACATTGCTAAGCACGTGACCAGACGACTCAACCTCAATTACTACAAATGCTGCTGCTGCTGCTACTACTAAATAAACTTTCCATCATCAACGATTTTTTTTTTAATCCGGGTATAAATTTATTATCTTCCTTTTATCATTTACTTTTATGAGATAGAAAATACTTATTCTTCTAAAATAAATAATTTTTTTAATGAGTTTAATTTTTGCCGCTCGAGTTCGAGACTTGAGAGGAAAAAGTGCGCGAATTTCATTATGCGAAGCCAAAACGAGGCTGTTTACTGTTATCATGGTAACGTTATGACGCCCGTTTTCCCCACTCCCAGCCCCGACATACCATATTCAACAAAATAATAAAAATATTTGTTTGCAAATTTATTATTAAGATTGATTTTAATATGTATAAATATAAATTGCTAATAATTAATTAATTTTTTCATTACACCCTTTCAAAAAATAAATAAAAGTAAGTTTAGATAATAAATTATAAGTAAATCAATAAAATTGAAATAGTTATTTATTCAATATTTCACATCAAATAAAATAATTATTTCTTTTAGTATTTCATTCTGTATTTTGGGGGAGGGGAATCATTTGACAGCACTGAATTCTTATTTAAACAAAACCAGGAAATATATTATCAATTAATATCTATTAATGAACAATAATAAATATTTAGTTTGCAAAACAACACTTTTACTTTATATTTGTGGAGAATATATTTGCAAAATAGTCTTTAATGTTGAAAAAAAATTTTTTTAATTCTTTAATAATTATTTTATTTTGTCTGATAAGCATGATGAATAAAAAATATTTTCACTTTCTATTGCTCCTATCATTAAATTGGTATTACTATTATTTTTAAAATCAGGTGTTTACATTTTTAAACAACCAGGTAGAAATTAACAGATGCATTTACTTTTCTCATTGTGCGTGTGTAAGTAAATAATTTATTTATAATTTTTGCATATTATTATATGAACGATCAATTAACTTTTGCAGTTAATTTAATTAAACACAGTAATTAATAAAAATTAAAGATTTGATCATAAAATACAGAGAAAAGTTAAATAAAACTTAAAATAAACTTGAAATGTAAAAAAAGTGTATATATTGTAACTTTATTATTATACTTTAAATGAATTTTGAAAAATTGAGAATTGCAAAATATAGTTTTATGAAATGTGTAAAAAAATACTAATTTGATTAAACTATACGAAATGAATTTTTTTCATTTATTACCAAATTTAAATATTGTTCTTAATACATTTCAATTTGACTACTAATTGCTGGAAATTAAACAAATTATGAAATTAACACCTGGTGGTGTAAGGTTCTGCCACCTGTGTTTGTTTTCACTTTTCAGGTATGTAATTATTTTTTTTTTTTTTTAATTTGAAAGAAACTGTGTCTCACCTTTACGTTTCAGTCCCATATTTATCTTTTTTTATATTTGTCCAGGATCACATTTGCCCCAAAAAACTGTGCTCTCAGAAGGGGACAAATTAGGAAAAAGACTTCCATTCCCAAACCTGTCACTATGACTTCTAGTTAGAGAACCAACATCCACGACAAATATTTTTTTTTTTTTTTATTTATTTATTTATTTTTTTAAGTGGTGAGGGGTTTTCCTTTGGTAATATATAGACATCCTTATCTTTATTTACATTCTAGATATAACTACACAAAGAAATGTTTAAATTTAAATTATTTTAATTAAATAAACTATTGTTTATATTGCATAAAACTTATCATACCTCTTCCTTTTAACTTAAAGACTTAAAAAAAAATAAATAAATAAATTAAATTTTGAGAGAAAATAGTTCGAGGTCGCGGATGAAGTGAGTTGCGCGAAGTAGATTTAAATATTGTATTAATGCGCAGTGCCAGGACCGGTACTCATGCATGCGCCATATTTGTCGCAAAGGTTGTGTACTGCAGTTAACAACTAGTTGACTAATAATCGACGAACATCTGATTGGAGCAACCGTTGGTTAACAATTTATTACCTATTTTCGAAAGAAAGATCCTTTGTGGAATGGCCGATGATAAGTTGAACATTGACAGTATTATAGCGAGATTACTAGAAGGTAAAGTAAATATTGCATATTTTTCCACTGTTGAAGCACAATCGTCTCTTTCCTTTCCCTTGATTTTTGAAAAGGACATCGAAAACCGTTGCATCTTGTTAGTAGTTTGTAATCGTATTTTAGGTTAATTTTGTCGCTAGTTTTATTTATTCGATATTAAATATTATCATAACTTGTTTAAAGAATGCATCTTGTGTATTTTTTTAGGTTTGTAATCAAATTAAGTAGAATTAATGTTCCCCTCTTGCTGAAGTAAAATCAACCTGCTCAAAAACCGTTTTTTTTTTTTGTTTTTTTTCTTTCGTTGATTTCACGACTTTTATTTGCCTCTTTTTTTTTTTTTTTTTCTTTTAAAAATCGGTTAAAAATTTTTTGATATTGGTTATTTGTGAAATAAATGTTTATTTAGTAGGTTATTTTCCTCTGGGATATTTAAATCTATTTATATCTTTTTCTCATTCCTCCTTATTTTTTATTTACTCCCAGTGTTTGAATTTCTATTTTAATTGTGGTTATTCCACTTACTTTATTATATATATATATATATATATATATATATATATATATATATATATATATATATATATATATATATATATAATCTTTATTCATATTTGTGTATGCCTGATTATCTTTCCTCTGTCTTTTTCTTTTTTCCTCGTTCGACCCTATTCCTTTGCCAATCCCTTAACAATAGAAGACAATTTCCAGCGCCTTCTTAAGATGACGGAGGGGGGGGATACCTTAACTGTCTTCCCCATTTTTAAACCAAAAAAAAAAAAACCTCTGTACACCTTATGTTTTGCCTTCATAATTCCTAATTTTTTTTATTTATTTACAGAATTGCTGTAAATAAATACATATCGGTTACAATAGGTTATTCAGGGCAACTAATAAAATGCTATCATTATTAATTTAACTAGGTAAAAATAGTATTAAGTATTTCTGGTCTAACTAAAAACTTCATTAAAATTATCTGAACCTAATTTTTTTTTTTTTTTTTTTTTTTACTTGCTATTCATCATAATCGCCAAATAATTTATTTTGGAGTGCGTGAAAAGCAAACCTGTTTATTTCCTTTATCTTAATTTCATATTATTTAATTTAAAATATTTACTTTTGATTATCAGTTATGCATTTTAAAGAGAAATAAAAAAAAAAAAAAAAAATTGTTACTCAAAATTGACGCACAAAAAGCTTCAGATTCTTATATTAAATTCTATTATCTACACCTTGATTCGTCATTGCTCGATTTCATTAATGGGGGTCTAGTTTCTAATGCATTTCTCTTTTGTAATGATCCCTCTTCTTATTGAACTGACCAACAAACTTGAGAGAGAGCTTCATATTATGCAGCTTATGTAGGTCTTGGACATTTGCCCGTTTATCTTTCTCGTATTGATTTTTGCAACGTTCAATGGGTTTTACAATCTTTATTTATTATGCTGTAGATTTTCTTGTTAAAAGGAGGGAACTTATTTTTCTTTTTGTGTCACAACTAAAAAAAAATCAAAATTAAAAGGCCACAAGAGAATTTATAAATAAAAAATCCTCGGTCTTTTTAAAAATATGGGTTGAACTTCTTATTTTCAATTGGAAATTTGGACAATTCTGTGGCTATTTTCACAACGATTTACTTGGCTTCGATTTATTTTCTGAGAAAATAAATTTAACAAAAAAAAACTTTAATATAATTTCAGTTCATTTTTCAAATTTTACTGTTTTTATTTCAAAATTTGTAAGAAAACAAACACATGCTCTCCTCTAAATTTAATACTTTTAGTTTTAAAACTGTTATTTGCTTACAGAATATTTCTACTCTGCGGAATTTTTTTGAATGTAAAATTGGGGTAGCCTTTCTGAAGTGCGACCAGTCACAAATTGAATGTGTCTAGAGACCCTGGAAATTCTAACTAGCGTGGGTCGCCCTGAGACCGGGGATACTGTGTGGCTTCACATTAAAAACCCGACCGTGTCATATTTACCTTTGTGGGGAGATTTAAATATTCTCTCTCGACGTTCTTCATTTCATTTAAAAAATTATAAATCTAGTAAAAGAAACTACCTTTTAGTTTACTTACTACTTGAATTAATGTAGTGTAAATGTAATTGTGCGTATTATAATAAGCTGTAATTTCAAGGCTACAAATACCCAGTTACCAAAAATAAAGTTTGTGTTCATCTCTTTAATTTACTATTTATAAAAATTAAGATTATTATGTGAGAAAATATAAATCCCAAGCTGATGAACTTGGATGAATTCATATGAAGATTTTTTTTTTTCATAAAACGTAGTTTTTATTGTATTTCATAATTTAATAAAAATAGCAGTTGTAGAAGTAGTAGGTGTAAGATGTAAACTTGTGTGAGTCATGTAATAATCTTATCTTCGATCCAGCAAGGGAGGAAACTTTAGTAGATCCAGCTTCTTGATTTAATTATTAAAAAATTGAAACATTTATTTTTGCCAACTATTCATTATTAAACTATAAATTGTTGAGTAGATATTGACTAATTAAAAAACAAATCAAGCGTTTAAAAATGCTTTATTTTTAGTTTGGTCAGTTTTAAAGATTTTCTTTTCAGACATTCCATTCCATCCAATGTATACTCTTTTAAATGTGTATTCTTAAATTCCTCTTGTAGGTGACAATTATCACATTTAAAATGGCCAAATACCTAGTTTGCTGCTGTGAAATTAACTTAGGATGTAGGTAAATTACATTTTATAAAAACAAATAGAAAACTTTTTACCAGCACGTTTCGTCCCTGATGAAGTTTATCAAGGTAAAGCAGCAAATTTGTAACTTAAGTATTTATTTTAAGCCATAATACGAGTTTTAATTTTCTTTTTTTACGGAATAAGCATTTTTACTGACTGTTCAAGACTTAAATATTTTTCCTTTTTTCTTTATTTAAGCAATTGCTTTTAGGTGTTAACTCTTGAAAATGAGAGAATATGACACTTATTTTTAAAATTCCAATAAAAAATATTTTTAATCTTTATTTTTTTAATACATGTTTTATTTGCATTAATCAATGTCGTTGAATTTATACACTGCAGGTAGGTGTTATTTTCTTTCTCATCACTTTGGCAAGCTACTCTATAACAGTCTCTAATATCATCAACTGATTCATCTGTATTTTTCTTCGCATCACCAGAATTATTCTTTCACACTCCTTCTCCAGTATTAGCACATGACCGTTTGTCTTCTATGCTCTCATCAATTCCCTCCAATGCTGAGGAAGAGGTGGCGGTTAAAAGCTTTACTGCTTGCTGCCAGCTCCCAACCCCTCACTTCCAACATGGTTTTGACTAGGAAACCGGATAACCCGTGAACGAGCGTTAACTGCTAAAAACCTATGATGAGATTCTTTGTGAAGAAAGCAGCTCTCTAATAATATCGTGAAAACTAAGAATTTGCAATAAGTTGTCAAACTTTAGATATTCATAAATCTGAGACGACTCGAATAGTAAATTCACTCTGAATACAAGATAGTACATGCTAAAAAACTTAAATTCTTGCTGTCATGTGTGACAAAGGTGGGGGACTACGGTAATTTGTGATGCCTACTCTTTGGAAAAGGTTCTTAATATCCTTCGCCACACCCCATTACGTAACTTAGTCTGCGACTGTCAAGTTTTTGCTACTTTCATGATACTCTATTTTGCTACTAATATCGGGCTGAACCTGTTTTAAGATTTAAAATAAACACATCTCTGGAAATGAGATGTGCGCATTTTTGTATTGCATAAATTTACTTCAATTCAGGTAAATAACCTTGAAATTGTCTGCTAATGATGAATGACAGATGGTAAGCAGAGAAATGAATTGTTTGCATCATCATTGATTGTCTACTCCCCCTCTCAATCTCTCTCTCTCTCTCCTTGCTGCAACGGTGAGTAGTGCCGTTCTATCAATTGACAGATTTTGTAGCCGAGACTTAGTCCTTAACACCTGTTTCTAACGCCTTAATTTAATTCTCACTTTGATGGGGTGGGGATGGGAGACAACATTAAATTGTAATATTCGTAATTATTGATTTATTACTATGCCTCTTTTTTTTTTTTAATCCGCTTATAGAGACGTATTTTTATTTCCTCATTAACCACGGCATAAACATAGGAAGTTATTTTACATCGCAATGTGACTGATATTCTCATTGCGAGGCCATTTGTCGTGCCCTCTTTAAAAAAATAAATAAATAAAAACAGCTTTTGTCACACGGGTTTCCCTTTTAACGATATTTCGTATAATTTTTTATATCATCAAATTTTCCAATTTGTCATTTTTCTAAATCCACACAAAACAATCGATTTCTGATATTTAAAAATAAAGGAAAAATTAACTTGTTGCTTACAACACTTCGTCAGAATATTTATCCCCCACCCCCACCATCTTAGGGTAATATATTGCAAAAAAAAAAAATTACAAAGAATTGGGCCAGTTGACCAGCCAGACAGCCTAAGAGAAAAACCCTATGCAGTTCATGCTTCTACTATTAATTGTAGCAGACTATTATTATTATTAAAGATTTTAAAAATAGCTTCAAATTATGAAATTAAAATGTAATTCTTGGAAATGTTTACTTGTATGAGTTTTTTTTTAACATACCTCCTTGCTGCTTATTTTTTTTTTTTTTTTCATACATTGTAAGAGAAAAAAACAGTTCATAGAAGTGATTTTCTTGATGCTAGTAATTTTGCCAGCAACAAATCTAGGTCAACTTACACTCCCACATGCGTCTTTTATTATTTTTATTTTTAAATGATCCCTTTTGTTATGTAAAATAGTCATCAAATGTATTTCTATTATGATTCATTTTTATTAAAGTTAAATCGTGTTGACTTTTTTAGTTAAGTTTAGTGTTTTACGGTTTCTTCTCCACCTTTATGAATTTAACATTTTGCAAAGGTATTCTGATTCATTAGTTTTAAGGTGGATTTCTTTTAAATATTTTACAATTAATTATGTTAGTTTTTGTTTAAATGACTTCTC